CTAGTGTTGCTTCCATGCACATGTGTATTGCAACCTAAAGAGATTCATCTCTACCTGACCTCTTCACTACTTCCCAGTCCCCTTCCCACAGTGGCCTCTGCCAGTTTAAGATTACTTTATTCACTCCTCTACAGTGGGCACATCAACCACATTCAAGTTTTAGGCTTCCTTCTCTTTTTCTATCCCTCCTGTGTATGTTCTCCCCTTAGTGTGTGACCCATGTCCAATAATATTACTACATTTGTAAAAAATGGAAGTAAGTTCTTTTCTTTACATTTTTTTTAAAAGTACCATATTGTATACTGTGTCTTGTATCTTGTTTTTTTCACTTAAGTATTTATTATGGTGTCAGGCACCGGTGGCTCATGCCTGTAACCCTTGCTACTCAGGAGGCAGAGATCAGGAGCATCGTGGTTCCAAGCCAGCCTTGGCAAATAGTTCAAGAGACCCTATCTCGAAAAAACCCAACACAAAAAAGGGCTGGTGGAGTGGCTCAAGGTGTAGGCCCTGAGTTCAAGCTCTAGTACTACAAAAACAAAGAATTTATTGTGGTGCCAGGTGCCGGTAGCTCATGCTTGTAATCCTAGCTACTTGGGAGGCTGAGATAGGGAGGACTGAGGTTTGATGTCAGCCCAGGCAAATAGTTTGAGAAACCCCATCTCCAAAATAACCAAAGCAAAGTGGACTGGAAGTGTGGTTCAAGCAGTTGGGCACCTGCTTTGCAAGTTTGAAGCCCAGAGTTCAAGCCCCAGTCCCACCAAAAAAAAATTATCATGGAGATCCCCCCATGGTACATATTGTGCTCTTTTGCATTTCTTAATGACTGCATAATATTTTATAATATTACATAAATTATATTTAAATATATAATTATATAAATAATTTTTGTAATATTTTATAATCTATTATGTCTTTAACTAGACCTCTACTTTGGGACAATTGATTTCTGCTCCTTTACTGTTCCAAACAGTGCTGCAACAAATCCTTGAATGTAAATCATTTTGCATCTGTGGGAGTTTATCTGTAGGCTAAATTTCTAAAGTCAGAATTGCCAGGTCAAAGGGGACAGGCCATAAGAACCCTGACAGACATCAAGGTCCTGTCTCCAGTCCATCAGCATCTGTGAGACATCCAGTTTCTCACACCCTTGCCAACACAATGGAAACACCCAATTTAAATTTTGGCCAAAGAGATTCAAGTTTGCTTCTTTTTACTTCATTTCCTTAAACCATTCTGTCACTCAATTTGCATCTAAAAACAGTCACAATTACTATTTACATTTGTTTTCTTATTGGTTGAGGCTTAAGAGTTGAGAGAATCTGAGTGAGTATATGAAGCAAACATGAATTAACTGTAAAAGAAACTTGTGATAATAACTTCCTCCGGCTTCAATAATTCAGGGTTTTTCATAACACGAAGGAAAGATTTTTTTTTTGATGGTGAGAGCAGAGATAGTCTCTATAACCAGCAGGGGGCAGCACATCCCCACAGAGAGTCAGACTGGGACTCCAGCTGATTGAAAGTACTCCAGCCAGGGACCTTAGACTGCCATCAGTCCCTTGTGCAAACCCACCTTGCTCCCTTCAGTGCCTGCTCTCGGCTGGAGCAGGGTGGAGTGGAGGGACAAAGCTTAGCTAAAAGATCAAGACAAACTGAAATATTCAATGCCAGGCAAGTTCAGGGTGGCAAAGAATTAAAAGAAGTATTAACATGAATAAAAATAACATCACATTGTAAAAGAAAGCTTGAATAAAACATTTAATTATTCCAGTCACTCTTGTCATGAAGCATAGAAGGAACATTCTTTTTTCTGAATAGTATTGTATTTCATATTCATTTTGCGATAACTGCAGAAAATGTCAAAAAGTTTATTTCTTTCTATTCCCCTAGAAAGATTTCTTATTTTACCTTAAAAAGCAGATTAGCCTGCTCCCTTCATATTAGTTCATTCAATCAGCCAAGGTGAAGAGGACAGAGGTCTACAGGACGTGGTCTTTGTTCTTGTTGGCAAAGCAGAAAAGACTTGGGACCTGAGACAGGAAATGTTGGTGTGGTACTGGAATTGGCTATGTGACCTTGAGCAAGTTACTTAACTTCTCTGTGCCTCAGAAAGGGGAAAAAATTGATGCTAATGCCACGTGCCCTACTGAACTCACAGATCCATAAACGAAATGCCACATGCAAAGATGCTTGGGCGAACAAGTACTATACGTGTGAGCCATTTCAAAAGTCACACCATAGTGAATACAGCAACCCAAGTGGCAGCTTAGTGAGGCCTTCTATGTGAGAGCCAGGCACTCTGCTCAGTGTGCACATTGACTCAGTTAAGCTCAGATGCCTAAGCAGGAGCTATCGGTGGACCATTTTACTTAGGAGGAACTTGAGGTGTCGGGAGGTTGGGAAGTTCATCCAAACCCAGGCTGTTGAAAGTGGAGGAGCAGGATTTAAATCCAGGTTTGGCCCCAGAGTCCACTGTGTGTGCTGCCTCAGTTTGGTTTCCCAGAATTCTTCTCTGTTCAGCACTTAGAAATTGTAGTATTACTCAGAAGAGAACCAGCACCAAAACGTTAGGTCACAGTTAGCTGTGGTTGCACAGCTATACCCCCAGCATTTTGGAGGCTGAGGTGGGAGGACTAAGAGTTTAAGGCCAGCCTGGGCTAAAAAAAAAAAAAAGAAAGTCAAAACAACAACAAACAAAACAAAAACACAAATACCCTCCCCCCAGAATACTGAGTTATGATTTTCTACACATGCCCAAGGTGTGCAATTCATGAAATACTATTTTTAATTTTTTTTGGCGGTACTGGAGTTTGAACTCAGGACCTCACACTTGCTAGGCAGGCGCTCTATCATTTGAGTCATGTCCCCAGTCTTTTACTGTCTCTAAAATAGAAATTGGTCCTGTGTCTTAAGAAAAATTCTAGGAAACTGGGTTGGTGGAGTGGTTCAAGTGGTAGAGCATCTGCTTAGTAAGCATGAAGCCCTGAGTTCAAACCCCAGTACTGCCCCATGCCCCCCCCCCAAAAAAAAAAGAAAGAAAAACTCTGGGAAACCAATAAGCTTCTCCATTTAATCCAGTAGAATTTTCAGGCATGCTTCTTGGTTTCTAGCTGTAAGGAGGTAGGTGGAGGTGGGTAAGGAGGACTTCCCTACTGAGCTATGTGTTCAAGATACAAAATTGTCCAAGTTCTCCCAAGGGGAAGCTTGGTGGATGGGAAGGGGGGCCTTGCTCTGTGAATTTTGCGGTCCATTTAGCTGGTGAGATGTTTCACAAAGTGTAGGTCCCAGGTGCCTCACCAATTTGGGGTATTATAGACAGCCTGATATGTCTTTCATGAGTTACACATGTCAAAGAAGGTAAATATCTTCTGGTTCCTGGTGTCTTCAGTGGAGGGGCAAATATTAGGTGAGAGAGGCTAATGAGACAGGCACTGTTCTAACACGTACACATACAGTAACTCTTTAATGCTGTACTGGCTCCATTTTACAGAGGAAGAAACTGAGGCTTTTTGGCTCAAGTAAAAGCACAGCCAACATTTGAACTGGGGCAGCCTGGCTCCAGAGGCTGCATTCTTAACCACTCCACTAGCCCATCTGCCAGGAAGGAGGAGGAAGAGGAGAAGGAGGAAGTGGAGGAAAAGGAGGAGAAAGAGGAAGTGGAGGAAGAGGAGGAGGAGGAGAAGGAGGAGGAGGAAGAAAGGGAAATAAGAGCAGAGAGGGGCGGGAAAGAGAAGAATAGGTAGGATTAAAAAAAGATGAAGGACTGATAGAGCGCCTGCTTGCAAGCCTTAAGCGCTGAAGTCAAACCCCATTGCCCCTCCTATCAAAAAAAAAAAGACAAGGGACATTAATAGAGCCTAGGAAGACCACCAGTGGGCTAGCATGCAGATTTTGAAGGACAGCCTCTCAAGGCAGGGCCTCTTGAGTGAGTCTCTTCTTCACTTGGGAGTGGGATGGAGAAGGTGGGCTCCAAGGTAGGATTTCTATACAGTATGGAAGCTTTTGGTTAGGAAAGTCCACTGGGACTGGACAGAAATTCCTGTGTTCCCAAGTCCATCCCAAAAGTGGAAAGTTTCTGAGCTGCGGTGGCCGACCATTAAGGCTCAGGCTAACTCAGTCACAGTGCAACTGAGGATTCCATTGTCACTTTGTTTCTAGAAAACTAACCTTGTGTTTATGAGCCTGTTCTGCAATGTGAGATCTAAACAAATTCACACCCTCCCTAGGTTTGCTCTTTTATTTTCAAGACTATGCAAAAAAACAAAAACACTTGGGCTAAACCTTAAGTAAAAAGATTAAACTTTGCAATTAAAAAAAAAAAACCAAAAAATATTCCACCAGAAACATCATTTAAGCTTTTGGTGTAAAGTTTTCACAATAGAACAGAGGAAATATTCCATTAAAATTTGCAGAATGATGACTAATCTATTTGCACAAGTTCATTACATTACTTAATGTAATGAACTTTGGAAAAGCAAATGACTTTATCCTGAAAGCTTTTTCTCTTTGAATGACGAACAAGTACGTTGCAAGAGACTGAAGAAGTGTAGGACCGACATCTCGGGAGGTTCCTATTCCCTAGGAAGGACCTGGGAGCAAAGTCACCCGGCGAGGGGGACCTCCTCAGGGTGGGCAGTCTCCTCGTCGCTGTCCGGCGAGCAGGAGATCGTGGTGACCTAAACCCAGTCCCCCGCGCCTAGCGGGCGGCTCCGGAGTCCCCGGGAGGATGCCGGCTTCGGATGCCCGGGTGAGGTCACACCGCCCGCAGGACCTCGGGTACTCCTAACACAAAGCCAGGGCGCGGGGCAGCGGCGGCACTACTCCCTGCTCCGGTGTCGCCTGAGCGCACCACCGCGTAATCAGGAAGGGCCAGTGCGAGGCGGTGCCAGGTCCCATCACCAAGGGGGCAGCGCCAGGCCTAGGGACCTGCCAAGCCTGCCCAGTTCCCCTACCTCTGTGGTGGCATCTGAGAAAACCCAACCTCAGGGATCCCCCCTCCCCAGCCCCGGCCCGGATCCCGCGCATCCCGCACCGCGATCCCCCGGGAGACAGGCGGCTGCCCCGCCGCGCCCGAGGCTCCGACTTTTCTTTTTGGGGGTAAGATGGCAGGTCCCGGGAAACAAAGGAAACTTGGGCCAGGCCCCGAGAGCGGCGTGTGTGGCTCGCGTGATCGCCCCGGGTCCTGTGTGGGAGTCGCCCGGCGTCTGTGCAAGCCTGCATGCAGCCCGCTCCGAGAAACCCAAGCCCGTTGCCAGAAGCCCACGGCGCCCTCCCACCTGCCACGGCGGCCGCCCGGGGACACCCGGCCCAGGGCCCGGGCGGTAGCGGCGGCGGGGGAGGGGGTGCTGGGGCGCGGGCGGGGGGCGGGGAAGGCGGGGAGGCGGCGGGGGAGGAGGGGAGCACGGGTGGGCGGGCGGTGCACGTCACGACTATTGTGGCTGTCCGGGTATATAAGGTGTCGCCGTGCCGCCGCGCTCCCCACCTTGGCTGCGCCGGCCGGAGCTACCAGATCTCCACGCATCCATCCATCCGGACGCACCGCGCACCGACGGAGCGGACATGGGCAGAGCGATGGTGGCCAGGTTGGGGCTGGGGCTGCTGCTTTTGGCGCTGCTCCTACCCACGCAGGTGAGGCCCCGGCGCCCAGGGGTTTGGGACTCAGGGGCCGCGCCCTTGGTGGGTGGGTAGAACCCCCTACCTTAGGCGACACTCTGGGACCGGGAGAGGGAATTTTTGTGTAAATGATCTCGGGGAAGGGCAATGTGGACCCCGCTCTCCACTCCCTTGCGCAGGCTGCCTTCTCCCCCTCCTCTCCCACGGAGTGTCTTCGCGCTCCCAGCGTACCACACAAAGAGAAGGGACAGTCCCCTTCAGGGAGCGTTGATCGCGCCCATCCTCCACCGTTGGAACTGGTTTGGGGATCCCAAAGAAGCCCTGGCTATCCGGTGCTACCTCCTACCCTAATTCTGGGAGACTTGGGGTTGAAACCGACGAAGAGACCTTCTCCTGACACTTCGCTCTCTGCCGTGCGACCTTCTACCTCCGTCCCTTGTCACCGTAGGAATCCCTTGTTAGCCCGGATTGACTAGCTCCAGGGAGGCGGCGTGGTGGGACGGTTCTGCCCTGAGTCTCCGCCAAGCTTTGTCCCGATCCCCGCCACTACTGCCTCCCCCGGGGTCCTCTGTCCGGGGCAGCGACCTCGCCCCTAACGCGGGCCCCAGGACAGGCGCTGCGCAGCCGAGAGGGCGAATGCGCCGCGCCTAAAGTGAGCCGAGGGGCCGAGCCTAGAAGAGACTCGGGCTGGGCGGGGGCGTTTCTGGGGTAGCCTGGGCTTGGAGGGCGGGGGTGTCGCAGCTCGGTGGCTTTCCACTACCCTGGGTTGGCGTTTTCTAGGACTGTCCCCGGGGCTTCTCCCCCTGAAGAGTTGGGCGGCCGGATCTTTGGTCCCCAGACACTCAGCCTCCAGGCTCACCTGGGAGCTCAGCCCGAGAGCGTGGCGCGCCCTTGGCCTTCCCCACCGCGGGCTGGGTAACTGTACCCTATTGTCTGGCTGCGGGTCCGCTGCGCTCCCAGCCTTTCTCAATTCCCCCGTGGGGGAGGGGCGCGGCAGCAAGAAACCGACTGGTCTCCGGCACCCGCGTCCCATCTCCTCTCCAAGCAGATTTAAGAGGGAGATTTTAGTTAGGCGAATAAAAGTTAGCTTGGTAGGGAACATTTTTTGTTTAATGTCAGTTTAATAAATTAACATTTTTCTTGTTGATGATGTCGTAGAGGACTCAGATTTTTCAGAATGATCTACTGGGCTCTATTTAAAAATTTTTTTTTAAAGTCACCTGTACTAAAGCTTCGTATGAATAAAAACAGGTTACTTTCAGGGATCCCAAAACAGGCGCCCCATTTTGAGTAATTTATCATATTAACGTTTTCCTGTTCGTGGGAGTGCCATTTCTTGATAGGGTAGGCTCAATCTTGCATACAGTAGGTGCCCAATATTTGACTTGATGAAAATTTTTGTTGCGGTAGTCCGCCTGGGATACAATTTGTACATTTCTGCACTCAATATTTGCTTATGGACTCGTGGGTGTTACAACAAAAGGAGCTCGTGCTGATGTTGAGGGTTTTCTCTTTGGATTAATGGGCAGCCGAATGTACTTGCGGCCCGGACTCTTGGTTGGTGCCACGTTGTCCTCCCGCCTGTAATTGGAAGCCCTTTTAAGCCCTCCCTTGCAGCGAGAGCTGAAAACTACGATCTGCCTTTGTTCTATGACAAAGGAGACATTATCACGTGTCCCACCGGACTGTGCATTTCGTGGCTCGGAAAATCAGTGGTGAATGATGGCCCGCAGATGCTGGGACACTGGGGAGACCTTGGTTCTTGGCCACAGCTCTGAGCTAGTGACCAGGCGGTGAGCCTGCTGCTGGTGAAATTTAACACCAAATCCTTTGCTCGGCTTTTTTTGTGAAGTCATTCCGACCTCGAGGTATTTGACGAAGTCATTATGCCTAAAAGTGAGGATTCTTTTTTTCTCCAGTTTTAAAGTACATATTGTGGTCTATTTTGAGAAGGGTTATAATTTCAAGATTTTGGAGGAGCAGATAAGATAAAGATACCCTCTGTCCCCTTAGTGAAAGGCTAAGACACTCAGATAAGATACCTAATGTGTGCCCCCTTAAGTTAAAAGCTAAGGTAAGTTAACCGTGCTGTTGTGAAAGTTACCAAGCACATCTAGGATGGACAGTGACTCAGTTAACTCTCTGGTACCATTAATCTCAATTTACAGTATTTTAAAGTCCAGATTTTTTAATGCTTTTTTTTTTTTTTTTTTTTGTGGTACCAGGGGTTTGAACTCTGCCTCAAGCTTGCTAGGCAGGTGTTCTACCACTTGAGCCAAACCCCTAACCCTTTTTTTACTTCAGTTATATTTTTAGGTAGAGTCTCTCCTTTTTGCTAGGATGGCTTCAGATGATGATCCTCCAACCCACAGCCATCTGGCTGCATGTGCTTATTGATTGAGATATGGGGGTCTTGCCACTTACTTTTTGCCTGGGCTGGCTTTGAATCTTGATCTTTCCCATTTCTGCCTCCCAAGTAACTGGGATTACAGGCATGTACCACTTGGCCTGCCTTTTTAATTCAACTTTAAAATGTCCCACTTTCTAGGGAAACAGAAAACCTTATTTCAATTTCAGTGAATCCATATACTCTCAGAAACTGGGTTAATTTGATCCTTTATTCCTCTGTACAGAATTCAAAATAGTTACACTCACTGGGAATTCCACAATTTGAAGAACTTTTTTTATTGTTGCTTTTTTTTTTTTTTTTTGTGGTCCTGGGGCTTGAACTCAGTGCCTGCACATGAGCCACTCCACCAGCCCTTTTTTGTATGTTTTTTATTTGAGATAGGGTCTTGTGGACTACTTGCCTGGGCTGGCTTTGACCTTGATCCTCCTGATCTCTGCCTCCTGTAATTAGGATTACAGGCTTGAGCCATTGGCATTTGGCCCTATGGGTTTGAAACTAAAGAGAAGAACCTTGGTAGGACTGAGCAAGAATTCAGAATTTAATGGTGTGCTTTGTCGTGTATTAGAGTGTATGTGGAAGTAGCTGAGACATTGTGGAAATTTATCACTGTAACTTTTTATGTATTTTAGATTTATTCAAACCAAACAACTACTCTGCCACTTTCAAGTAACGTTGCCCAGAATACCTCTACTCCCCCAAATCCAACTAATGCCACCACCAGGGGAGGTGGCAATGCCCTGCAGTCAACAGCCGGTCTCCTTGTGGTCTCGCTCTCTCTTCTACATCTCTACTGTTAGAGACTCAGGCCAAGGAACATCTCTACTTCCCCATCTTCTAAACCCAACCCAGATGGCATCTAGAAGTTCAATGTGGCAAGGAAGAAACAGTTCTGCATCAACACAACTAATTCTACACCTTATTTTATTGACACAGAAAATGTTGAATTCCAAATTTGATTGGTTTGAAGGACATGTGAAGGGTTTGACAGATGACGAATGCCCATACTGAATCTGCTGGAGTTTCCTGTACAAGATGAAGGGCTGTAATGCCCAAAATTGAGACATGATTTCCTCGAATGTGGCTTAAGAGATTTGGACACTTAAAACTCTACGTTGAAAACAAGAATGGGTTTTATCTAGAGATAAGGATGGGATATGGAAAGGAGATTCCATTTTCATTTGGTTTGTTAAATCTATAAGGCCATACAACAGTTAAGTAATATAAAAAGCTTCCATGATTCTATTTATATGCACATTAGAAGGAAATACCAGGTGTTACCATAAATCCTCCGTGAATTGTCTCAGCAGTACTAATTTAATGCCGATATACTCTAGATAAAGTTTCACATTGTTAAACTGTCACTGTTCTCTTGGGACCTGAACTCTTATTTTCCCTCTGTGGCTTTGGGTTTGATATTACATTTGACCTTTTACATAGTAAGTGACCTGTGCCAGGGCAATGATGGATTGGAATTTAAGCATCCTGAATAAATTTTACCCTTACAACTTGGTAGGCATTTCTCATCACCTATTTTCATTCAACCATCAGACCCAAAGAGTTCATAAGATGCTGCTTTTTATTTTCTGCATATGTTGAAAGCTTTTCAAAATTTAGAATTAGAAAACTTGAAATTAGAAAGGAAAATATGTGAATGAGCCAAAACTGTAAATCAAGCGCTTGGGGAATGAAGACTGGAAGCTAATTTGCATTAAACTCACAAAAACTTTTATACTCTTTTTGTAAATACTTTTTTTAAACTATGGATCAGAATAGCCACATTTGGAAAACTTTCTGTTATCAGTTAATATCTTTAGATAGTTAGAACCTGGTTCTAAGCCTAAAAGTGGGCTTGATTCTGCAGTAAATCTTTTACAACAATCTTGATACACAGAAGCCTTTTAAAAAATAGATACTCCCTGAAAAAATCCTTTGTTCGCATGGTCACGCACTGATGCTTACATGTTCCGGAATCCAAAATGGCCACAGTAGTAATCAGAGTCATTTCCATCCCCTTCCATCTTTAGAAATTTACACGGGAATAACAGGATCACAGATCTGAAGCACTGTGTGTGAATGAACACTTTCCTTTGCTTCTTACCTGAATGCTGTACATCTGTTTGGACTGTATATTGTGTTTGTGTATTTATGCTTTGATTCATAGGAACTTCTCATGGAATTGATTTGCATTGGACACAAACTGTAAATAAAAGGAATAAATGGCCAAAAGAGCAATCTGTTGAATTTTTAGTTTTTCTGGTACAGGAATGCTTTGTGGGTGACCATGGTTGATAAGTCTATTAATTGAAGCCATTAGGGATACAACTCCATATTTGCCTATAAACTAGAATATTACAGTTTTTTCCTGCATTCCAAATTGCAGGTTTTAGCCAGAGAATTCCATAAAAAAATTAACATCTTTCAGTTAGCCCTCCTACTTACTGAACAACTATTTGTTGTGTGCCAGCTCTAAGCCAGGATACTGTTAATTGAATGTTGAATTTGCTGGAGAAAGACTTAGTTAACAAAGTAGTTATGTGGTGACAAGCCAGCAGTGTGTTGTCAAATAATACTTTGAGGAAAACATCTGGGTTGTGGGAGTCATGGACCAGGGATTGAGAAACCATGAGTGGCCTTGAATGTTGAAACTGACATCTGAAGGAAAAGACAGTGGTGGGAGGATGTAAGTCCTTGTAGAAGGAACCGCATGTGCTAAGTCCTCAAATTTGAGCCACTTTTTCCACACCTGCCAGGAAGCCTACAAATCACATTAGTTTCCTAAATTGTCACCCTCACCTGCATTTTCTATACCCTGAATTTTTTTTTTTAACATTTCAAGTGCATTCCTGGATTCCAAGCATCTGTACTGTGGTTCAGGGACCATAAGGAAGGGTAGACAGGAATTGGAGAATGAGTAGGAACTGCAGTCATCCAGTGGAATTTTGTCATGAAAGAAACTTAGTTCTGCTATACAGGGCTTTCGATTGGTAGAATTAGGCCCATCTAGATTATCTAGAACAGTCTTCTTCCAGTAATCATATCTGCAGAACAGTTCATGGCAATGTGAAAAAGTATTATATTAGTGTTTGAGTAACTGGGGACTAGATAAATTGACATGAAACTGACCATCACAGTCCACCCCTTATCAATTTGGTACACTCCCGTCTCTGAACAATATCTGATCTCCAAATAAAGACAATAACATCATACTTCTTAACATGATGGAATTATCTTGTTTACAATAAAAAAATACACTCTCATCAGAAGTGAGTACAGAGCCTTTGGGTTGGGTTCACTTTTTTTGTGTGGGACAGGGGTTTGAGCTCAGGGCTTTGATCTTGCAAAGCAAGTGCTCTACTGCTTGAACCACACCTCCAAGTCCATTTTGCTCTAGTTAATTTGGAGATGGGGTGGGGATCTCACAAACTATTTCCCTGGACTGGCCTTGAACTGCAATTCTCCCAATCTCAGCCTTACAAGTAGGCAGGATTATAGACATGAGCCACTGTGCTTGGTTGTGTTCACTCGTTTTGATATCCTGCAACTTATGATGGTAAGTTAGTCATTATTAAAAACTATTAATACATGTTACACTAAATAACAAGGGAAGAAAGCAAATATTTACAGCTATAAATACCAGATTCTGCCACTGCTGATGATTATAGCTGTCATCTTCCAGAATCAATGCCATATTTCCTTTGGTGTCATTTCCTAGCCTGGCAGGGTAACTCAAAACTTTTCTTGAATTTATTTTAGTTTTCCAATGACTAATCAGAGGACATGGCAGTACTGATGGAGCCCCAATAGACCTGTGTTTCAGACATACTCTTTCTTAGCCTCCTCTGTGTAGTAGCAACCTAATTTTTCCTTGGAAATCAGCATCGGTCAGTGCATAAGTACAGTGACTCACTTTCTTCTTTGATGCAGAAGCTTGAAGAGTCCTAAGTGGCTGGTGGCAATTTCTCAATTTTGAGTTCAATGGGATCATTGTTGTATCTCCTGGTGGAAGTAAATTTTACTTTATTTAATTATTTTCTTGCAGTACTGGGGATGGAACCCAGGGCCTTGCACATGTTAGACAAGTGCTCTACCATTCAGCTACCTCCTCCACCCACCTTCCTCACTTGGCCAGGGCTCTTGGTAGAAGCATTCTTTTTTTTTTTTTTTATTATTCATATGTGCATACAGGCTTGGTTCATTTCTCCCCCCTGCCCCCACCCCCTCCCTTACCACCCACTCCGCCCCCTCCCTCTCCCCCCCTCAATACCCAGCAGAAACTATTTTGCCCTTATTTCTAATTTTGTTGAAGAGAGAGTATAAGCAATAATAGGAAGGAACAGGGTTTTTGCTGGTTGAGATAAGCATAGCTATACAGGGCATTGACTCACATTGATTTCCTGTGCGTGGGTGTTACCTTCTAGGTTAATTCTTTTTGATCTAACCTTTTCTCTAGTTCCTGTTCCCCTTTTCCTATTGGCCTCATTTGCTTTAAGGTATCTGCTTTAGTTTCTCTGTGTTAAGGGCAACAAATGCTAGCTAGTTTTTTAGGTGTCTTACCTATCCTCACCCCTCCCTTGTGTGCTCTCGCTTTTATCATGCGCTCAAAGTCCAATCCCCTTGTTGTGTTTGCCCTTGATCTAATGTCCACATAGGAGGGAGAACATACGATTTTTGGTCTTTTGGGCCAGGCTAACCTCACTGAGAATGATGTTCTCCAATTCCATCCATTTACCAGCGAATGATAACATCTCGTTCTTCTTCATGGCTGCATAAAATTCCATTGTGTAGTGGTAGAAGCATTCTTACCTTGGAACCAAGAACTCTAGACCTAGAGCGTAATGTCTCCAACAGGAAGTAAAACTTTCGCTTATGACTTAAGAGGGGTAATAGTGAATGGTACCCCTGTTGTTTCACAACTCCCTCAACTCCTGGACCTGTAAAACCTGACTGTGGGAGAAAAGGCATCCTATTTAGAACATGCTTAGTTCCTGTCCTACAGGGTATTGTCCCTAGCTGGTGTTATCACTTAAATTTTCACAAGGCCATTCCTCTACCAGAGTTATGGCTGCTTCAGGGTTATGGGGAACATGGCAAGATCAATTATTCTCTGACCCAGGCCCATTGTTAAATATGATTGGGTGTGAAGTGAGCACTTTGGTTAGAAGCAATGTTGTATGGATTACATGTAGAAGCATGATGGTGGATAAAGGACAGATGGTAGTTTTGTCAGAAGCATTGCATGTAGGAAAGCAAATTTCTATCCAGAACAAGAATAGCTATTCAGGTAAGAACAAATGCTGCCCCTTCTATGATGGAAGTGGTTCAGTTATAATTACCTAGGTAGCTGGCTCATCACGGTGCTTTGGTCTCTACTGCAGCAGATTGGGTGCTTAGCAGTGGCTGTAGTCAGATTGGTTATGATGAATGTAAGTCCATGTTGCTGGGCCCTTGCCACTGGGCCACTTGATCATGAGCCTGTTAGTCAATGATAGAGAGGCTGACCGGAGAAAGGCTAACTGGTTTTCACAGTACAGGTCATCTATCTACTTGGTAATAAAGTTCTTCTCTACTGAAGTCACCTCTAGTGAGCATTCACCTTGGACACAAACACCATCATGTCTTTGTCCTTATCCTTTTCCGTATATCTCTTCCCCAGACTGTCTTGTCACCAACTTCTAATTACATTTCTTGCAAGTCTATCTAGTCAGCTTATTGGCCACAGCTCATGAATCCATATAGACTCGTACTTCTGGCCATTTCTCCTTCCAAAGCAACATGGATGACCAGGTTCACTGCTTGTAATTCTGCTCACTTGAATTATCTCCCTTCACCACTGTCCTTCAGGGATGTTCTGGAAAGATTTGTAGAACTTTGAATTGTCTACTATTAGGTAGTGTCTGCACACTGTGCAGAACTTTCTATAAACCAGATTCAAGTTTTCTCTTTCTTAGTCAACAGATCGTAGAGAGCTCCATGACACCATAGATGCAGGCTGGGAGAGAGACGGTAACAGCTGGCGGAGGGGCAGTGAACATTTGGGAAACTTCCTCATGTCACTTATTTGTGTCTCTAGGGTCTGCTTGAGACCAATTTCATGTGTATGACTTTCATTTGACAATGTAGTGCTGCTGGCACATCCAACTTTAGAGTCTGGTGGGTTTGACAGCACCCAGCTCACGATGGGCAGTTCAGGTTTCATGGTGGCCCATGGTTAAGGGCTCAGTGTCTATTAAGGCACAATAATAAGCCAAAAATTCTCAAAAAAGAAGTGCTGCCAGGTGCGGTGGCCTACACCTGTAATTCTAGCTACTCTGGAGGTAGTGATGGGTAAGATTGAGGTTAAAGGCTAGCCTGGGCAAAAAGTTTGAGAGTTTGATGTCATTCCATCTACTCAGGAAGTATAAAGAGGAGGATTCAATTTAGACTGGCCAGGGCATAAAGTGAGACCCTATTCAAAAAATAACTAAAGCAAAAAGAGTTAGGGCATGGGTCAAGTGACTCTGAATTCAAGGCCCTGTACTGCCAAAAAAAAAAAAAAGAAAAAGA